AAAAAAAACTAGTTAATTTTTGTTAGAGCTGTATTTGTAATTCATTGTTGGTTTAACTTCTGCATTTTTGTATTTTTAGACGTGCAAGAATTTCGACACGTGTTTTCAATATAATGATAAAATAAAACCTCACTTACAGCTCTAAGTAAACTTGTCAGGGGTATCGAGAAGGATTGGGATCTTTGTTCTCAGATCTATTGGTGGAAAACTCGCTGAAGGATGACGATTTTTCTTTTGAGAAACAATGACGAATACTTTTTTTCTACGTAGACGGAATCTCACGATGTTACTTATAGTATATTGAATATCCAAATAGTTCTATAGGATTCACTTTTCTTGAAAAGTGAATGAGACTTTAAAAATTCTAGTAAATTTTTGTTAGAGTTATATTTGGAATTCATTGTTGGTTTAACTTCTACATTGTTGTATTTTTAGACGTGCAAGAATTTCGACACGCGTTTTCGATATAACGATCAAATAAAAACTCTCTTACAGCTCGAAGTAAACTTGTCAGGAGTATCGAGAAGGATTAGAATATTTGTTCTCAGATCAATTGGTGAAGAACTCGTGGAAGGATGACGATTTTTCTTTAGAAAAGCACTGACGAATATTTTTTTGGACGTAGACGAAATCTGCACGATGTTTTCAGTATAAAGACCAAATGAAATCTCTTTTATGATTTTAAGTAAACTTGTCAGGAGAATTGGGAAGGGTTAGGATCTCTGTTTTCAAGTTGATTTGTTAAAAACTCATGGATAAATGATGAATATTCTTAGAGAAATGCTGGCAAAAATTTTTTTTGAACATAGATGGATTCTACATGACAATAGTTTATATAATAGTTATCCATTTTCTCTCTTACCGTTTATTCTCTTATCTCTCAAACCCATAACTAGCAAACTCCTTACTTTCATACTTTGTATTATAAACTTTGTTCAAGTACTGATTCCCTTCATATATTATGGATGATACGACCCACTATTGCACTTCAATATATGTATTTGCAACTTAAAATGAAGCTATGGTCGAAAAAAATTATCAATTCTTTGTCGATTCAAAAATTAAAGTTCCTTCATTCATCGGTTCATTAACTATTCCTGATGAACCAAAATATCAGAAATATATTGATTCTATCAAAGTCTCAGATCTTAACCGAGAGATGGTTAATTACAGGGTTAAACTTATTATAAAATCCTTATTTCTTGAACTTTTATCCAAATATTTAAAAAACAACTAATTAGAAATTCCAGAAAGATCATATGAGTTACGGGTTTTAGATTATCTTAGAACTTGACGTTCATTTATCGAAATATATGCCTTCTTTTTTTGTATTCTTTATATGATTAGTGCAATTATATTCTTTTCACAATCGTGAAATGTTTATTATATTATCTATGAAATAATTTTAAGACCTTTGTTATCTAATAACATGGAGATAAAAATAGAAAACAACGAGAAGAATTAAAACAATCATTAAAGAATGGTTAATTATTTCAATATTCTATACAAAACCCTTCGTGGGTAATCCATGGTTTTCAACAAGTCCTCGTGACTTATGGTTCATCAAATATATAAATAAGATTTTCAAAAACTTGGCTACCTTCCTGTCAGAAACAATTTTAAACGCAATAAGTCTCTTGGGTTCACATTTGGAATATAATAAGCGAATTACTTCTTTTAATCATTTTTCGATAGATTATGCAATTTTTTCTTATTTCATGGAATACGTTTGGTTTTGTGGAAAGCCTTTGAGGTGATATTTTAGAAAGAGGAAAGGATTTTAAAAATAGCTTTGGGATCAAAGTTTTTAAGATGTCTTTGTTTTTACCAATTGTGGTCTTTATATTACTATTGTTTGCAGAACCTTATATTAGGAGACTTTATTGTGAGTCACATCTGAATATATATACAAATTTAACAAATTGGTGGTCTAATTAGAGAGTAATGTAACCCTTTATTCTATTTTTTGTCATTATAAAAATTTTCATATATATTTAATAGATAGATAAATAGAGGCGCATGCACATTATCATCTGAATATTGTATACATTGTAAAAAATAATTATATTTATTGCTTTTATATTAATGAAATGATTATTATCTTATTTGTTATAAAAATTTTCATTAATATTGTAACAAGCTTATGTTATTCAAAGTTGATTATTATTTAGAGCAATTTTATTGGTTAAAGTATCTTTCTTTAATATATTAGAAAATCTTATATATTGCTACTATTAATTCTTGAAGACCATTAAGGGTAGAGTTTAATATAAATTATTTTTTATATAATCTTGATGGCAAAATTTTTTATTATTAATATCTTAAAAAATTTTATTAAGTTAATTATTTTAAATTCTTATGTAAGTTTGTAGAATAGGTTTTTCTAATTCTAATAGTAGTAAAATCATTAAAATTGGTTAAATATTTAATAAGAAATATGTATTTAAAGATTATATATTATTTTTGTTATATGATAATTATATGATCTAATAAAAATTGCTGATTTTGTGTAGCTACTAAGAATTTAAGATCATTATAGAAAACTTTACACCATATATACATATATTTTTTTTTAATATTTTGATTATTAAATTTTATATCATTATAAAAAACATGTTTTATCCTATTCATATTCTTAACAACCTTATTGAAGATGCTTCTTGTGATTATAAGAACATTTGGTTACTTTTACAAAATATAAATAAACCTATATGACTCTGTCAACTTTATTCTCTTTAAACATGCATTTTCTCACCTCTTATTTCCTTTATCTATTATTAACATTCTTTCTGATCTTTTTACTGATCATTACAATTAAGTTATAACTAATCTTGGTTTAGCTTTATTCTATTCAGTTTACAATAATATTGACCAAGATAAAACTATTACTCCTTTGTTATAGCATATTTGCTATGATCCACTTATTTCTTATATATACTCAAACACTTCTAGTTACAAATTTCAATTCTCTTGAACTACTAACTTTAAACTTCAAGCATTCAACTCATTATAAAAACAATACTCTGTCTTGACTTATATAGATAATACTTTTTGGATTGCTTTATTACAATCTGAACTATTATATATATTATCTATAGCTGAATTCTTTTATGATATAGTTAATATTCAAGTTAATTCTTCAAAATCCATTCTGGTTACCAACAATCCTCCATCTTATTATATACCTATCTCTTATAATAATTATCTTCTTTCTCTTTATTTTCTTAAAATATTTTTTAAATTTTTAGATTGTTGGTTCATTTTGGACAATAAATAATCTAAATAAACAAAACAACTAATCTTTGAATTCTTTTAATTAATCTAAATTGTTAAAATCAAACATATTACTAATTCACTTACTTATAATATTATTAATATAGTAATCATTCTTATTCTTGAATACTGATTTCAAAATATTGTAATCAACTAATCTACTTGTAATAAAATTTTTATTTAGTACATTGGGCTTATAAAACTTAAAGCCAAACTTTGACATACTATATCTTCTAATATTCTTTCACATTCAGAAATTTATAATATCAAATACATTTGGGATATCCAATTGTAATACTATATTTCTAATCTTCTTAAATGACTTAATAATCTTGATCTTTAGATATACCTACTTATATTTGAATCTAACAATTACAAAACCATCTTTGATCTCTAACTACTATTTTTTCTTATCCCAACCCAATTATTAATAGTTCTAACTGTCTAATTATAAACTTTAAAATTATACAACTTATTAAACATATTGGCTAGACATTTTTAATTAATCCATCTTATAACATTTCTTACATTTTATATAATGAAACTATCTTTCTTGAATCTCTTCTTTTCTTCTATTCTAAATATTTTATTTTCAAAAAATAATTTATATATCACAAACTCTTCTTTCTTAACCAACTTATCATCTATGATAATTTATATTTATTATATTGACAACATATTTCTCTTAAACTAAACAAATTTCCTAAAGGTGTTATATCTCAATAGTTTATTATTCTTGAAAATATTATTACAAACCATTCCTATTAACATAGATTATATGATCATTTTAATTTATTTTAATTAAACTACTTTTCTTATATTATTAGTCAGTTTAATTTTAATACTAAACTCTGATTACTTATTGTTCTCAATAATCAAATCATTATCAACAAGACCAGAAGACATAATCACTTTATAGGCTTTATTTTTATTATTTATTAGTATTATTTATTTCAGTTTTAGTTTTCTAACCTTTATTCTATCTTTTTTTCTATTACTACTATATGTCTTGAATGCCATCTTAATTCAATTATAATCACTAACAAATGCATTATCTTTATTCTTACAAATTTGACTACTAAATTACTTTGTCATATTAATTTTGACAAAACTCTTAATCTACATACTAATTACCTTAATATTGCATACTCTGTAGCTATTTAACATCCTTTACATATTCCACTATCTCCTTTATTAATAATCAATTCATAACAGTTATCTTGTATCTTTCAGTCAGACCAACTTACTAACAGCTTACAGTCTATTACTAATTCTAATTATAATCTAACTATTATCTTATTTTATACTAATGGTTCTGTTATTGAGCTTGGTACTTTTCAATACTCTATAGGCATAGGCTGGATCCAAGTTAATAACTCTACAACTACTTACTCATTTCATACACAAGTTAAACTTTGTTATACTTTTTTAAAACTAAAATTTTTGCTATTTTTTTAGTAATTATTACTGCTTCCAGAAACTGTTCTGTTCATATCTTTACTAATTTACAATCTGTAATCTTCAAATATCACAGTATTTGCTTATTAGTTTCTAAACTTTCTTATACTTATACTTCATATTTCTCTATTTGGCAAACTCTTATTAACCTTATTAACTTATATAATATTTAGTTTATTTTTTACAAAGTTATTGTATATCAAGAGGATCTATTTAATAGAAGTCTACAACTTAGGCTTGTACCTATGTCTAACAAAAATTCAGACATGAGCATAAATATAAAAGCTTTGGCATAAATATGAATACTAATATAAAAATATGTCATAGGCATAAGCACAGACACAAAAATTTGGCATAAACATGGGTACAAGTACAAAAACTTAGCATGAACATGAGTATGAGTACAATAATTTATTATTTATTAATTAATTATATGTTTAATATTATTTGGCACTTGTGTCTAGCACTTTTTGGTATCTTTTTGATTAGCATATTGTGCCTATGTCTATAAAATACCTGGTATTTGTGTTTATGATTATAAAAATGTTTGGTATTTGTGACCATACTCATAATAATCTCTGGTACTTTTGAGCCTATAGGTATGAGTATGACATAAGGTACTAGTGCCTGGCATAGTACCAATTTGCTTAGCATAGTCATTTTCAGAGCTCTACTATTTAATAATCTTGCTAACCAGCTTGCTTGCAATCATCAAATACTATTTTTTTTAACAATTTTAAGTAACAACCTTTAGAACTTTATATATACTTCATTTATTAATCAATTTTATATTGAGATTCATATTTAATGCTTTATTTATACTATTGCATCCAGTATTAACTAGGAAGCCACTTGGCTTTATATTAATAATAATCAAAAAGTTTCTAACTTTGATCATAGTTTTATTCCTCTATTTTAAAAACCTTTCATATTAAAATTCTTTTAAATAAACTACCTATTCTTCATACTCTTTACAAACTTAATTTTTCTTACTCTTTTCTCTATCATTAATGCAACCAAACTATTTCTTCATTATACTAAACTTTTTGTTCTTTCACCCAAACAATTTATTACTTAATTTCCAATTCTTTTAATTGCATCTTAAATGCTACTGCTCTCAATATTTTATTAATTTTGGTTCTAATTTACATCTATAAATTTTTACACTTAACAGTTTTAAACTATACAACTTTTTTCATATACTATCTCTTATTTCTACTTAGTTTTTATTGATCTTATTTCTACTATTCATAATACTTCTATTTTTTACTATATAATTACTTCTCTTTCTATTAAATTTATTCTTTATTTAAATCAACAAATATATAAATAATATAGATCTCATATTGTATTTTATATTTAGCACTGTTTTCAATTACATCTTTTACAAATTTGGCTTATAATTCTCCTTCTAGTCTACTATTACCTTCTATCTTGATACTACAAATTATTACTAAAATTGATTTTGGATAATCCAATAGATTAAATATTATATTCCTTTCTTATATATTATTATTATCATCCAAATCTAGGTGAATCTTGGCTGCTCTTGTAAGTTTAGATTACAGATTATATGTCTAAGTCTTTATTCTTTATATATAATTTAAAAACAAGCTTTTCTTTATAAAAACTTCAATTAAATTTCAATAAAGTTAAAGGCATGGCCTTATTATTAATATTTAAAAAAAAACATGTTTTAATATATATACTATAAAATTTTAATAAAAATTAAATATAATTATAAAAAGTTTTATTAATAAAATTCTTTAATTTTATAAAAATTTTAATTAAATATATAAATCATATAATAAAATAATTTATATAAACTTTAACTTTAAGTAAAAACAAGTTTAAAATTATTCAAAACATAAGTAAGAACTAGTATGTTAAGAGAAATAATGCTAAAAACAAGATAAATCTGTATATTGTGCTTAAAATACATTTATTACAAAATGAGATTTAGTTAAATGTACTTATTAAAAACTTTAAATAATCTTATTATAAAGTTTAATAGCAATATAAGTAA